ACACGTTTTTAGACAGACTTTATAACTTTTTATCTTAGTCAGCAAATGGATTCTTTTGGTAAAAAAAAGAAAAATAAATACCCGTTGGATAGATTAGGATACGAAGGTGTTAATTAAAACAATAACTATTGATATAATAAAGATATTAAAAACCCAATTCAAAAAATAGTTTAAATATTTGTCGTTTAAAACCATACAATAATAGAAATAAACTTATTAATATTTTACTTTTTATTAAAAAACAATTGTTTGTTATTTTATTAACAAAAACACACAAGGTTTAATTTCCTTTCAGAAACCATTTAAAATTGAATAAAGTTATATATGAAATGGGGACCTACATTGACCACCCTCATCACCTTTACCAAAATAAAGTATTTGCCGCGAGTGTTTTTTGAATGAAGTCCACTTTTCAGCCACTGTTTGTCACAATCAGGCGTTTTTCAAAATTTACTCATTGAGTGCCGCTGCCCAAAACTGCGTCCATATAAATTTTAGTGTATTTTTCTTCTTCTTTTACCATATTTTTTGAAAAAAAGCCTCATTTTTAAGAAGAAAAAATTAATTATTTGGATTACCATTTTTCATTTCTGTGTAGATTATTAGGTTGGTTTTATTGTGTTTTTCTGAATTTTAGGATGAATTGATTACCACCTCCAAATATCAAATTAGGGAAAAAGTTAACAAATGGTCTTAAAAAATCCAAATAAAACGGGTGGAGCACATTTTGAAAACTTCAACTGAGCAAAAGGTACACAAGTTAACAAAATGAATACAAATATAGCTTTCGTACAAATCTATAAATAATAAAATAGATAATTTATCTTTCAAAACAGCAAACAAAATGGCGTGTTTAGTACCAATTACTCAAACAAACAATATAAACAACACACAAAAAATCAAACAAGATACCATGAAACATAAATCGCGTTCGATGCAATACTTCTAAAAATACATTAAAACATAGAAATAGTTACCGACTCAAACAATAACAAGAAAAACAATGGTAAAATATATAACAAACAGGGAAATCGCTCTGAAACATGAATAAAAAACGAATCTACAACCAAACACACTTAAACTATTACCATACAATTTTTAAACACTATACAACAACTATAAAAATATTATAAAACAACTATATCAAAACCATCGTGAGTAAAACAAATAACTATATAATAACTATAATAATATTACAAAAATAAACCATTTGACAAAAACAATAATAAGATCATAATTAAAAACTAATATTTCATAATTAATTATTTATAAAAAAATTACTAAAAGTCGGGCACTAATTAATTGTAATACATCAAACATAATAACAATACATCAATTTATAATTAGAAGATGCATGACAAGATGGAAAACAAGAAAGAAGGGGTACTACTTGTTAATCCAATTTCGAATTGAAACAAAAATATGAACCAAGAATCTATTTTTAGAATATTCGAAAACATGCTTAGTAAACAAAATACAAATTTGAATAATTTATAACGAAGCTATTTTTTTCTCGCTTACCTTCTCGCTTATAACAATAATGCTTCTTTTCTCCGCTTTCTCCGCTTTCTCCGCTTTCTCCGCTTTCTCCGCTTTCTCCGCTTTCTCCGCTTTCTCCGCTTTCTCCGCTTTCTCCGCTTTCTCCGCTTTCTCCGCTTTCTCCGCTTTCTCCGCTTTCTCCGCTTTCTCCGCTTTCTCCGCTTTCTCCGCTTTCTCCGCTTTCTCCGCTTTCTCCGCTTTCTTTTCTCTCTTCTTGCTACTCTATATGTTTTTTAAGTTCTGATTATAAAATATAAATTGAAGTTATCGATTTGTTTCGATTTTGTAAAGAAACCCTGGTTCTTTATTAAAAATAGAACATTACCTTTTTTCGTGTCATCGGTAAGATCCATCACTAAATATGAAATTGTTTTCTTAAATCTTTTCTTTGTGGAATTATTAGAGTCTACCAATAGACTCTAACTTAGACTCTAACTTGGAGTCTATCTTAAATAGACTTGAGGCATCTAGTCATAATCAAACCATTAAAATATAATTAAAATACTTTATTTTATAAATAACAAGACTCTTGTATTTAAACCAGATTTTAATATAAAAAACTATAATAATAAAATAATTTAATAATCCTCGTTTTTTGTGTTTCACTTCATTTCAAAGTTTTTTAAAGCACTTAATTGATCAACGTAAAGCTGTTTATTGTTCGGACATTCTCCAGATTTCTGCAACTCTCAATTCACCGTCTCTGACTGATTGTTGCGTCTTTTTCAAATCGGCTTGTGTATTACCTATTTGAGGTAGCTTCCTTCTGTTCGAATTCTACAAGCTTTCTCTTGGCCTCTTCAACCTCTCTGGTGTATTGTTTGGTTTTCTTCTCGACCTTAAGCAGCGGCGTTTTGTGTTTCTTCCTTCTCTGGTTTGATTACTTCCAATTCTGTTTCATATTTCGCTTTCGATTTAGCGATTAAAGCTCCAGTCGCACCAGCGTCCGCCAATTTATATTTCAAATAGATAACTTTCAATTGAAGTCTTTAAATTTCTCTTGGCTTGTTGTTTCACTGCTCTCTCCTTTTCAAGTTCCATCTGTAAATCAGATTTTTGAGCAATCAACGAGTTGATAGATTTCTCAGCTTGTTCCTTATATTCACCAAATTCGTTTTATTTCTCCATCACTTCTCTAAGCTACTCGGCGTATTTCTTTTTTGGTTTTAGTCTGTTTAGCATTAGTTCTTTTAAAATCAAGTTGCTCATTCAACGCAGTCAATTCCTTCTCATAAGTATTCTTCTTCGATTGTTTATAAGTCTTCGCAGCTTGTTCAAGGGCTTCCAATTCCGTATTCATCTCAGACATATCGTCTTCAAGTTTGTCGCATTCGTCTTGTTTCTAGTCAAGTTCCGTCTTTGTTTTCATCAATTCTTCAGAAGCGGCCTTATTATCTTTCATAGTCTCGACCTTCTTTTGTTCGGCCATTTGAACGTTCTTCTTGAAGGTTTAAGCTCTGGGTGTTTACCCTCATTTACACTATGAGGGTAAACAATTCACGAAGACATTTAGAAGTCGTCCAGACAACGTTGTTCTATTTAATAAGTCAAAGGGCTTATCAACAAGTCTTTAACGCGTTGCCGCAAATGCCTGATGACAAGCGTCTCCTAAATAGAAGAGAAAAACACATGACTTTAAGATGT